TAACAAAGTAATTTATTTAATGCCATTGATGCCAAAACTTAATTATCAGCAGCCATTATACCAGTATTCAGTGTCACATGACCCTTCAGAAGTCTTTTTAATATACTGATTTAGTGGTCAAGAAGCTTGTTGTGCAGCTTAATATTTTGTGGTAAATTTTCTTCAGCATTGATTGCTTAAAATATAAATCTTTTGTAAAATTGTAATTGTCTTTACTGTAGCTTTTAATGTATATTTTCTAAAAAAAAGTATTCATTCCTTATACACACACACACACACACACACACACAAAACTTACTGACTTCAAAGTTTTGAGCGGGGAGTGTATGTATTTAAATATTTGACAATGCATGTGACTAACTTGCTTTTTGTGTTCAGGTGCAGCACAATGCACAGGTCGAGCACTCAGAGTTTAACACCATCAATGATGATGAGATGCTAGCAGCTGTGCTGGAGATGAGTCGCCACGACACTAGCCCTGATGACGAGCCAACCAGCAGCCCAGACACAGGGTTTGGAGATGCTGACGGGCAGGACCTGACTCATCAGTTGGACCTTCTGGATGGAGAGAAACAGCCTGCAGGTAAACTAGAGTTTTAACTAGTGGTCGACCGATATGGGTTTTTTGACAGCCGATGCCGATATCTTGGAAAGCAGGGTGGCCGATATAAAGCCGATATTTGAAATCAGTCACGAGTTTAAAGTTTGTCGATCATTCGTCTCCAGTGAAGCTGAATTCTCCCTCCTGTCCGTATTCAATTCGCACGGACCATAGGACCGACCGTCACCGAACACGCGATCATGCAGGTCACATGCACACTTCACAAGATCTCAACTAGATTCGACTAAGTCTGCAAGGTTTGTGAAATTAAATGTTCATTAGTCATTCAAAGATTTGTTTAAATTATATAAATGCGTATTTGCGGAATGCTGACGGCAAACGAGAAAGTATTATAATGTTTGCCTTTAATAATATTAAAGCTATCGTTATAATACTTTTTTTGTATACATTTTAATTCCTTTGTTTAACAGTTCTATCTGATTATTAGATAGACTTCTATCCGTATTAGACAGAACTGAATGACAACAGCGAACAAGAGGGAGAATGTGAGCACTGTGTGCTCAGGTGCTGCTGCAGCCGTTCTTGGCGCCGTCAAAATAAAAGTCCCGCCTCGAACACATCGGCCAAACAGAAAAACTTATCGGCCGATATTTGAAAAATGGCAGATATTGGCCGATATATCGGTCGACCACTAGTTTTAACTAGGTTTCATGCTTGTATTCCCAGCCTACAATGTCTAGAGTTGTGTGTGTTTATTGTTTGGTTTGTGTCTAGATGCTCTGGAGTCTCTAGATCTGACCATGGATGAGAATAAGGAGAACCAGACGCCTGAAGGTGTGCAGGGAGAGCTGGACTGGGTACAGCAGTACAGTTTAGACCAGGAGCGAGAGGAACAGGAGCTGCAGCAGGCCCTCGCACAGAGCCTACAGGAACATGTAAGGACCATGATACACATCTTATCCACACTACTGCTACATTCGCTTTAAATAAATCTATCCATTATTTCTATGTTTTATGAATTTAAAAAGATTGTAATCATCATAATACTTGTTGTGGACTTTACAATTCTTGATCTTGTGAATTTTTAACCTAATGTAATTTTGTCAGTCATTTGTGTCTTTGTGTTTATTTGCTGATGAAGCACAGCCAAACTTAGAGGTCATCCTGTTTGAGTTTTTATTTTTGGGTGAATCTCATTGAACCGGTCAATAACATGTCCAGGTCATATTTCACTGCAAAATCAAAAGAACATAATTGTGGTGTGTTTTGAATATGAAACATTTTTAGGACAGTTTTAAAATCTTGATGAATCTATTTGTTGGAGAAGGGGAAAAAAACAAAAAAAAACAAAACTTGTATTACAATTATGGGAGTGACCTTTGAGAATAATGGGAATTTCAAAATATCTTAAGTAAAACTAAATATATTCTTGGATGCATTATGGTTATGAGACTTATAAGAGAGGATCTGTTTTACTGTGCCAAAAAAAAAAAAAAATCTTAACAGGCTTCATTTTGTTCAAGATATACTTTGTATTTTTTTCATATTATTGCCATATTATAATCACCATCTTGGTCTTTTAGCACAATCTTCTTAGCAACTGTACTTTTCCAGTGTTGTTCATCCTTGACGTCAGCACAACTTAACTGATGATGATAATGATTGTTGTACAATGAATATTATCTGTGTTAATTGCACAGGAGGCGAGAGAGATGAGGGAAGATGATGATCTGAAGAGAGCCACTGAGCTCAGTCTGCAAGGTCAGTATGACACCCAGAACATTGTGTTCTGTGTCACATTATCTTGGTTAATGTGAATGTTTGCATTGTAGAGTTTAATAACTCTTTGCCGGAGCTGCTGTGCTCTGATGACGACTCTGGAAATGAAGATGGTCTGGATATGGAGTACAGTGAGGCTGAAGCTGAAGAGCTCAAGAAGAATGCTGAGGTGGGTCTGAGACCCTCGGTGCGGTTTGAGAAGTGACAGTTTTCTGGGCATAGTTTTAATGATCGTGTAATGATTTGTTGTTTAGACTGGAGAGCTTCCGAACTCTTTCAGACTCATCAGTGTGGTCAGTCACATCGGCAGCAGCTCATCATCAGGTACTGATATCTTTTAGCTCATGTTGTTTTTGCACTGCAGACCAAGTACAGTTTCATCAGGTGCTCTTCGTCTCTTTCCTCCTATAGGGCATTACATTAGTGATGTGTATGACATGAAGAAACAGTCCTGGCTCACATACAATGATCTGGACGTCTCCCGCACACAGGAGTGCACTGTTCAGAGAGATCGTGACAGGAGCGGATACATCTTTTTTTACATGCACAAGTAAGTCTTTTCTTTCGTGATGCATGTTGAGCCATGTTGCTGTCTCATGGTAATCTAGGAATGAGTCTTATTAATTTTTTTATCTTTTTTTGTGAGAAGTTCTCTTGTGTGGATAAATACAAGTAATCCATGTACAGTGGGGCAAATAAGTATTTGATACACTGCCGATTTTTCAAGTTTTCCCACTTACGAAGAATGGAGAGATCTGTAATTTTCATCGTAGGTACACCTCAACTGTGAGAGATGGAATCTAAAAAAAAAAAAATCCAGAAAATCACATTGTATGATTTTTAAATAATTAATTTCCATTTTATTGCATGAAATAAGTATTTGATACAATAGAAAAATAGAACTTAATATTTGGTACAGAAACCTTTGTTTACAATTACAGAGGTCAGACGTTTCCTGTAGTTCTTGACCAGGTTTGCACACACTGCAGCAGGGATTTTGGCCCACTCCTCCATACAGGTGTTCTCCAGATCTTTCAGGTTTTGGGGCTGTCGTTGGGCAACACGGAGTTTCAGCTCCCTCCATAGATTTTCGATTGGGTTCAAGTCTGGAGACTGGCTAGGCCACTCCAGGACCTTGAAATGCTTCTTACGGAGCCACTCCTTAGTTGCCCTGGCTGTGTGTTTGGGGTCATTGTCATGCTTTGGTAGGTGATCAAATACTTATTTCATGCAGTAAAATGGAAATTAATTATTTAAAAATCATACAATGTGATTTTCTGGATTTTTTTTTTTGATTCTGTCTCTCACAGTTGAGGTGTACCTACGATGAAAATTACAGATCTCTCCATTCTTTGTAAGTGGGAAAACTTGAAAAATCGGCAGTGTATCAAATACTTATTTGCCCCACTGTATATTAGGGCTGGGTAAAAAAAATATTGATTTCTCAATCGATTGATCGATATTCATTTTTACGAAACTGTATCGATTCTTAAAGGTGACATATTATGCCCCTTTTTACAATATGTAATATAAGTCTCTGGTGTCCCCAGAATGTGTCTGTGAAGTTTCAAGCTCAAAATACTCCACAGATCATTTATTATTAGAATAAGTTCTCATTCACACAAGTTTACGTTAAAAACACACGAGTTACAAAAACAGTGAAAGTCAGATTTTCATGATATGCCACCTTTAAATCACTTAAATTGTGGGAAGACGTCAATATAACAGCTTATAACAACTCTACAGAGGAGCATTTTGCTAAATATATGCACCATATAACGCATTCATTATAATTTTTACTGTTCTTCAATATTTATGACAGCCACCATTTAAATGTTTATATTAAAAAAAACATTAAAAAAAAAACATATTGGAGTAGAAATCTAATTATTACTATTTATATGTAGAAATGTGTAATTGTAGTTAGTATAATAATTTTAATATTTTAAAAACTGTGTAATTTTAGTGTTTGTATACAAATCAGTTAATTTGAACCTTTAATATTGCAGGAATATAGTACCAACTAACTCTCATGTATATTTTACAGCATTAGTTGAGATTTTTTTTTTCTTCCTTGAGGAAATTTGTCATGTACTGTACCTGATATATATCCAAAATAATCTAAATTGAATCTGAATGTAATCAAATCGCAAGCTTGTGCATATTAGTGAACGAGACCCAGTGTTTGTGAGGATGGTGGTGTTGTGATCTGATGAGATGTGTTTGTGTTCAGAGATGTGTTTGAGGAGCTGTCTGAGCTGGAGAAGGCAGGAGGGAACGGTGAAGCCGGTCGCACAGTGCTGCAGCCGCTATAAACACTCTGGTACGCTTCTAACATCCCATCCGGTGGATCCTTCTGCTGACGAACAGCTGAACTGAGCCAGGGGTAAACGTTCAGTACTACTGAAGACCAATCCACACACACATGCACCTACTTTGGGCACTTTTCCTTTTCTATTTCTCTTTCACGTTTCCCATTGCTCCCTGTGAAATACTGTTGCCATATTAAATGTAGACTTGCAGTTAGATGGGTAAATGTTCTAGAAACTCATAGATACTAAATGTTTATGGGGAAAAGCAAAGAAAATAAATAAATGTATAAATATAGAAAGCATTTTGAGTTTCTCAGAAGGTGTAACTTCAACCTCAAGGAAGTTGCTCTTTTGGTTTTTTTTTCTTTCTTTTGTTTAAATATTTTGTTGAAAAGACCCTCTGGTAAACTTTTGCATTAAGAAATATTGAGAGCTTGTTCTCTATCATTTTTTTTTTTCCCTTTCCCCTCTGCAAATTTTAAATTTCTGATCTATTGCATATAAAAATTTATTCTTGTATATGTTTGGGTGGAATATGGGGTGTCTGTCTTGTTTGATATGCAGCTGAAAATGTGGTGCAATATTTGCTTTGCCAGTTGGCTTTTATATGACCTATAGTGATGAAGAGAGACTTGGAATAGTACTGATTTATATTCAAGGCTTTACTGATGACTGTTTGTTGTTTTATTCTTATTTTATAAACGTTAATCTAACAAGCTCCGTGGTATGGCTGTAGCTTGTCTTTTTTTAAAGATCTCACTTTAAGAATCTTTATGCCTCTCCAACATCTACAGATCTAGTGAAATAATTTAGTTTTTTCTACTCTATAGAGCTTTACAGTGTGAAGTTGCACAGCCATTGTGTAGAATATCTTCAGAAAGACCTCAAATGAAAAACGCTCACACATCTTTACTGAATATTGGAAGCATCGGATGAGAGTGCTTCACATGAAGTCCGCGGATATTATTTATTTTAGGATCTTGTTCTTTGTCGGATTTGTACTGTACTGTCCTTCTCATTTTCATGTCTTTGGTAACCACTGCATTCATGTTTTCTGTTCTGATCATCCGAGTAGGTTCATGGAAGAGTGGGACTTGTTTGGACATTGTGTGTATGGTGTTCTCTGAAACAGTGGTATAAGCTCTACTTAATTGCTTAGTATTCGGACTTCCTTAAACACATTTTAAATAAAATTTATTTAGAAAAAAAGGAGTTTGTTTCATTTGGCTTTAATTCAGACTTCTCAGTAGTGCGTGTTAGCAGCAAATGTGTTCCCCGACCCATTTACGGCCCAGGAGTTTCTTTCGAGAATCAGTCTGGTGTGTATCGTCGTGCGTCCTACGCGCTTCTCTTTGTGAGTGGCTCGAGGTGGCTGCCTGTTAGCCTGTTGAACTCGCTGAGAATGTAACTTTCTTTCTGCTGCATCTGTCAAAAAAAAAAAGAAAATATAAAATATTTATATAGGCTAACAACTGATAGTCAAACTACTTATAAGAAGATGGGCTATTTGTTACAAAAGGTTCAGTTCAATAGTCCAACTACACAATGCTTTTTTTTTTCTCACTCTAGCAGTGACTTCTCATTTAAAACCTTGACTTACTGTATTTTTGCAAGTTGCAATATTTTTAATAGCCCTTGGGTAACAGGTGCACACAATAAAAAAAAACAGGACAATTGTCAACTATAATTTAGGTAGAAGGCTATTTTCCATAGTATTTAATGCCATTTGATAGTATGTACATTTTATTTTTTTATATTGTGGATATTACTGAATATCGAAAGAGTTGAGAATCACTGCTTTTTAGTTCTGTTCTCATTTTGTTCCTACAAGCAATTTATATATTTTTCAGCCATTAGTGTGACAGACTAGAGCCAATCCTCTAATGAAATGTAAATGAGTCCTACCTCATTCCACTCCTCTTCAGTTTCGTGTCTGTATCCCAGTAAGTGGCAGATTCCATGAGCTGTGACCACCTGCGCAACACCACAAAAAAAGCCATTTGAACAAACCTTTATGAAATTCCTGCCAGGCTACAGATATAAACGTGATGAAACTACACATCTCTCTTACTGTAAGTGCTTCATGAAGATCCTGGGAAGTCTCTTTACACTGTTGCATTACATACTCTACACCTAAGAAGATGTCGCCTAAGTTATACTCATCTCTTTGGAGGGCACATGGGATTTTGCCTGGCCTCAGATCCTTGAAAAATGACAAACTTCAGCCATTATTTTTCCTTTAACTGGTAAGACATGGGTTACTTCAACTGCCACCAAAAACAAGACATGCTCTAGCCACCTGTCAACGGCCAGTGTTTATATATAACACATTTCAGGCCATGTATATAGCCAAATAAAAAATCAAGCGTGACAGCAGCTGTACCTCATAGTAAGGGAAGGACAGCACATCTGTGGGTTGGTTCTTTTTCCTGTAGATGTGGTTGATGCGTTGAATCCTGCGGTTGTCCACACATATGATGCCTATGTCAAACTTCTGGACCCCAAAGATGTGCCTCAGGATCGCCACATCTTTGCGCAGTTTGGAGCGTCTCAGGGGAACCACATTCTGCAGATTCCGCAGAACTACACCCATAGTGAAAGTAAAATTAAATACAATAAATAGAACCTAAAATCCACACAACCTGCTGGGGTTTTTTTTTTTGCACTTGTCACCTTTCACAAGGTCACTAGGAATGTATAAACGTATTTACTTTGCTGCCTACGGACAAAAAAAAACGTCTATACGTATTAAGGAAACTTCTGTGAACATATAACAAGATCATTTCGACAAAATTACCCTGGTCCCGACTTCACCCTGGCCATTGATTTGGAAACTGAAAGTGCGCATGCGCCAATCGTTCATTCGCACGTGTGAACAGGAAGTTGAAAAAAAGTGTCAAAATAAAAGTTCTGTCATTGTGTTATCAAAAACGTCGAATAGTTCAAATCTTTTCTGAATGATTGAATAACGGATTCTTGTAATAGCAACTCAACCTTTTTTATATACATGTGTACAATATGTATACCTGTTTCATTTAACTTCGTATTTATTTCGAAAGCGCAGTGACGTTAACTAGTCACAGGAAGTAGAAACTGAACTTCCAGGATTGGTTGCGCGTTCATGTTGGAGGTCACTTTGCTGTAAAATAAAAAGGTAATTATTCTGCTATTTAACACACTTACAAAAGATTTACACCGCTTTTCGTGTAAGTTTACTTTAGTTTAAACTAGAGGCAGGATTTATTTGCTACTGAACCGCACCAGAGTCGGTGTTTGCGGCTTAGTTGTCATAAGCTGGTTCGCTTGTGTTGTTTATGTTTGTATATGAACACTTCAGTCGTTTAACACGACTGGACAGCTAATTAGTGAAACCATTTAGGTACAACTAACTGATCTGTTGCAGTCTCAAAATACGCATTTAACCGCCCCTATACCCAAACTTTAGCCTACATTTTAACCATAAGTTTTGGGTGACTCTCTCATTTGAATCGCCTCGTTCATAAGCTCATCAGTGGAGTGATTCAGGTGAGTCGACTCGAGTGACTCGAACTTGACACACTGAAAGAGACACTGCGTAGCTTCCTAATTCTACAACTGTTGCATTAATTATGGTGAGATGTCTTCAACAGCAGTCATGGGTGGGGATCACGGACATGGCAAATTGTCCATGCCAGACTACAAAGTGTGGAAATGGGAAGGAACGCCGCTGGAAATGACCCAGCAGAGGCTTGCTCGAAGAGGACTCCGGGACCCCTGGGCTCGGTAAGATCATCGAGTTTCAGATACTTGCTCCTGAATTGTTTGCCTGGAGTCCTCTATAACATGCACCATGACATTAGTATCTGAATGTATAGTGTGCTTTTAAATTCTGGCTCACCCCTGTGTATTGCGATTAGACTTATATAAGTGAGTTATAAAGGAATAGTTCACCCAAAAATTAATTAAATTAAAAGGGCATCCGTGATGTAGGTGAGTTTGTTTCTTCATCAGAACATATTTGGAGAAATTTAGCATTATATCACACTTGCTCACAAATGCAGTGAATGGGTGCCGTCAGAATGAGAGTCCAAACAGCTGATAAAAACATCACAATAATCCACGCGACTCCAGTCCATCAATTAACATCATCTGATGTGAAAAGGTGTGTTTATAAGAAACAAATCCATCAAGACGTTTTAAATGTAAAAGCATCACTTCTGGGTGAAATACGAGTCCATAATCCATAATATCACTTCCTCCAGTGAAAATGTCCATCTCCTGTTCTCCTCTCACATCAAAATCCACCCACATATTTGATTAGAACTATTTTAGACCGTTTTCTCTTGTAAACGGTGCTTGATCTGTGCATATTTCTCTCTTTATTCAGACAAGACCCTTTTTCACTGGAGAAAGCAATATTATGAATAGAGGACTCGTATCTTAGCCAGAAGCAACCGTTTTAAAGTAAAAAAACAAAACAAAAAACATCTCGATAGTATTTTTTTCTTTCAAACATGCACCGTTTCACTTCACAAGATGTTAGTTGATGGACTGGAGTGCTGTGGATTGTGATGTTTTTATCAGCTGTTTGGACTCTCATTCTGACGGCACCCATTCACTGCAGAGGATCCATTGCTGAGCAAGAGATGTAATGATAAATTTCTCCAAATCTGTTCCTTTGAAGAAACAAACTCTACAACAGTCTACTTACTACATCTTGGATGACCTGAGGGTGAGTACATTTTCAGCAAATTAAAATTTTGTTTTTGGGGTGAACTATCCCTTTAAATTGAACAGGAATTCTCTTAAAGTGACTTCTAGGCCATCGTTTCAGTGCATTCAGTCTTATATTATCATCAAACAGTCAAATATGTTATAAAGTGTTGATTAAAATGTTTAATATTTAAAACTCTTCTGTACATTTAATGTCAGCAGTGCTTTATTATTTTAGTTTTATAGAACAGGACATTATGAAAGTAAGAAAATGAAGGGCCTAAAGGATGACAACGTTTGTTTTCGCAGGAATGAGGCGTGGAGATATACGGGCAGCTTTGGCGTCCCAGTTACCTTCCGAGACGTTCTCCTCCGTGGATTTAAGACAGGATTCGCAGCATTTGCAGTGGCACTGGCAGTGGAGTATGCTTTCTTCCCTCCAAAGAAGTCAGAGCACTAATAGCGTGGCTAAAGCTCAGTAGAGCCAGTCGCTGCCGGACTCTGTGTTTGCTGCAGGTTTTAAGCCTGTTGTTGTCTATCCATGAAGACGTTAGCCCATGAAAGGCTTCCTAATACCTGTGCTCATTCATGGTTATCTTTCCTTTGACCATTCTGTAAAATAAATATAAATTAATTGAATTGGGCTGGGTATGTTTATTGGCTATTATAGTCAACCTTTAGAACTTAATTTAACTTGAAATTACTATTGTAAAATGCTATTCTTTAAATAAGTATAAATACCAGTGATTTGCATGTTACATTTCCTGAATATGAAGAGATTAACATGAATGCAAATCTAAGATAATATTCTGACTATGACGTCCTTAACTTCCTCTCTAATGTACTGTTGTGTGCTTAAAGTGTACGTGTCTTTTTGCTTTGTTGTGCATACTGAGGTACGAATCAGAATGATTGTCTCTGGCATTGCACAGATGCTGCCAATTAGATCGGAAGGTTAATATTTAATTTAATGGGGAACTGTGTGTGTAAAATATCATTAAGGTCAACTTTTAATCTGTGGACTTCTCTTCCAGCTAAACTGAAATAGCTACCAGGAGAGGAACAGGTTACCAGAAGTTAGATGGAGCTTACTTATTAACACTATCTTACTAGACATTGTTTTACGGTTTTTCATATCCAGTAAGTTTTTAGTTGCAGTTTTATGTGATATGAAGTTTAGCTTGTAAAAGGCTGGTTATAGTATTTGTTCTACAGTGAAAATGTTCATAGAATCCTTTTATATAACAGTTTGACCAAGAGAAGTTGGTACATCTTTAAATGTCATCAAACATAACCTTTAAGTATATTGGAACCAAATGCAGGCACATCAGTATAAGCAATACAACTGTGAATTTCGTGTACAACGGTGTCAGATATTTTACAGTAATCTAGCAGGATAGGAGGGAGTACGCTATGGTGTGCTAGTTAAATATAAGAATATGAAGAGAATATGTAGTTTGTTCACTTTCTCCCCAATTTATACAATCAACAACAACAACAAAAAAAATGCCCAAATGCCCAAATAAGCACGCATTTGAATGACGTCGTAGAGGAACGTTTGTTTCACACTTCCTGTTCCATTTCGAAGCTGTAAAAGTGTCATTACCGCTATTCATGCGCGAGCAGATGCTCCATTCCGTCAGAAGAACGGCTCTCTTGAGGTAAGGTTTACAGTTTTGTCTTTTAATGCGAGAATATTCGAAGTTATTGACTTAATCTCCACATAAAACACGTAGCCACATACAGGTTTTTTTTTTTTTAAACCATAGTTTTAGGATGACATCCACATATAGTAATATTATTTGTAACTATAAGTTTTACGCTGTAAATGCGACTAAAGGTATTGTTAATTTAGCCTAGTAAAACTGACTGTCATCAAAAATAATATAAAAGATAGAAAGCCTTAATCTTTACTAGAAGATGCGATATTTATTTAATAGGATATAGCCTATTTAATAGCGTACGATATAGGATAGTGCTATTTTGACAGAAGCGCTTGCTATGTTGTTGTTGTTGTTGTTATTATTATTATTATTACTGGTCTTATAGGGTAGACGAATATCGAAGTATGATATGAGCAGGGTGCGAATTACAGGGGGTTTGGAGGGGTCTGACCCCCCTAAAGAAAGCTTGATCCCCCTGAAGGACGTCAAAACTAAGTCTGATAGAAAGTAGCCTATGCGTAATATGGAGATTTGCTTTTAAAAGATGCATTTCTGTAGCTTTGACTGATTTTAAACTGTAATTTTGGTAGCTCCTGAAATGGATCATCTCGCTCATTTAAGTCTTTTCAGTGCTTTTTAATTTAACACAATGACTTTAAATGATCTTTAATAATGATTTTGATTAATCGGCATATGATGTACTAATTAATTAATCAGATTATTTGAGATTAATTCGATTTAAGTAATCGGCACATTGTGTAATTAATTAGATTAAAACATTTTTAAAACATAAACAATACACAATAACAAAAATTTTTTTTAAACACCCTCGATATGAGTCATTTCATGAGTCATGATTGGGTGTCATTTCAAGATAAATGAAATAGCCCAGCATTTGCCCATACTGAGTCACATCCGTGCAATCTAATTGTGAAAGTAGTAGGTCTACAGAATAAATGACTTGGCTCACCATTTTAATACAAGGAATGATGCTCTAAAACCCTAAATATTTGTAAATGACCTAAATACTCCCAATGAAGTGTGATATAAAAAGATTCTTCCTTTCATAGTTTTTGGAGCAGAATGTCTGGCCTGTACCACACTATCAGTCAGATCACTGATGAGCTCAGCACAGATGAATGCAAGCGGATCTCTTACCTGTGCGGCGCTCTTGATATGGACAAGTTCTCTACAGATCCCAGAGGCATGTTACAATCTGTACTGTGCCAAACGAGGATGGATTACGTGTTTCTCATGGAGCTCATTCTGAAAATAAAACGCTATGATCTGCTGCGACAAGTGCTGAGCACCAACAAGAGCACGGTTGAGGGACTGCTAAAAAATGGCCATTCTGTGTCAGAATACAGGTAATGCTCTCTTGATTCCCTCCGTGAATCTCCCTTTATGCACCATATGGGGCTCAAGAGAATGTTTTAACCTGGACTTTGTGTTTTCAGAGTACTGATGGCTGACGTTAGTGAGGACATGGACACAGAAGACCTGAAGTCATTGAAATTCTTACTGAGAGGAACTTTACCAAAACATAAACTGGAAAATGCCCAGGTATGACGTCCTGATTCTGAAAGCTGTTTTCTTCATGTGTGTGGAACTGAAATGTTTCATGTGTGGAACTCAAGTGATTTTTTTTTTTAAAACATACATTTGCAGAGTTTTTTAGACATTGCAGTAGAGTTGGAGAAACTGGACCAGCTCTCCAGTGAGAAGATGGATTTGATCGAACAGTGCCTGAGGTCCATCCATAGGGCTGATCTAGCTAAAAAGATCAGTCACTACCAGCAGACAGGTAAGAATTGCCAGCTTTATGCTGTTATTGATGTTTTTGTAGATGCAACCATGTAATACACTAAGTATTAGGCCTGTTGTCTCATTCAGAGGAGTTTAGGCTAAAGTATATCACTAACATGATACAATCTAAGAAGAAGAAAAAAGTTACAAATGCTGTCACTGGGACAGTAGCCTTTGTACCATATTTACCCCTAAAGGGTGCATTTTAGTACCTTAAAGGCACATATCTGTACGTAAAGTGTACCTATTAGTACGTAAATGCTACATATTAGTACCTTTTGAAAAGGTACTGCCCCAGTGAGTTTTTGTATCTTTTTTTCTCCATTTTATGATGATGCAATATGACATGTGACATCTGAACAGTATTGATTCAGTTCTGATTCAGTTCCTCTTTCCTACATCTTCTTATTGGTAGTTTTTGTCTGTTGCGCCATCACTAATAAGAAATGCACTTTGTGGTATTTTTATGGGAAACTGAATCAGCCAGTTAAGTTTTATAGGTTTCCTTTTTGAATAACTGAAAACCGCTTTTGCAGTGCTAATGACCAAACAAGGATCTTCGCCTCCAGACAGACGTCAGTTCTGCAGAATGCCATTGGTGAGATTTAATTTGGTTGCTTTGTCTTAGCTTGAACTTAAAATGTTTCATTTTTTAATAATCTTTTCTTCACTCTCACTGTTTGTGTCATTCGCAGCCAAAAAGCTCATTTGGTGTCTCAACAGCTTCTTGTAATGTGAGGCCGATTTCCAAATTCTGTGGTGAGTTCATTCAAAAACGGACAGTACGAGGAAATACTCTACCAGGCAAAAGTTTGGGCAAACCTCTCATTGTCTCTCTATATTTATATTCATTGTCTCCCCTCACAAATTCCAGTATTACTAAAGTCATCAAAACTAGAAATAGCACAAATGTAGGTATGGGAATGATGAAGTGACCAGAAATCTTAAAAGTCAGCACACTTTGTCACAGATTCACACAGTTTATCGTCACTACACTGTAGAAAAAAAAAGAAGATTGTTGAGGAAGTTACAAATGCAAACCAACATGATGCATTCAGATTTTCAGAAAGTTTTCTGAAGTGTCCTAAGTAACACTACTATGTTTTGTCAGTTTGGATTTTCATCCACTAAATGTAAAATGCACTCATTTGGCCAATACATTTGTGAAGATAAACTGCAGGTTCTGGGATGAATGCTGAGAACAAACAAACCACAAGCATTTTTCTGAAATCCTTTGTTCAGACAATTGTGTTTGACTAGTTGTAAAAAAAAAAAAAAAAAAAAAAACTTAGGGGTTTTCCTTTTTCAGATTAGTGCATGCATGCACTTTTTTTTTTGCGTGCGTGTTAAAAAAATCTTATTCGGAAATTCATTTTTTGCTATTTAAAAATAGTGATGAACAGAAATTGTCAACTGAAAATTTTCATCCAAAACACAAAAAACATGTTTTTGTTGCCAAAAATACAGTGCCGGTGATCAGTGTGGCAGCGGCGTTTCCAGGGCGACGCTAATCTGGACTCGGGATACTCGCCACAATATATTTAGTCAGGTGTGCCTAACATTTGACTGGTAGAGTGCAGAATGTTCTGTGTAATTATATAAATATTGTTTAACTTCAGTGCATTTGTTGTCTTTTGAGCTGCCATACTTCTTTATAATTATACTAATCCATATTATGAACCATAATAAGTTTATTTATTTGTTTATAATTTTTTAGATAAACCGACAGCACTGAAGAAGGAACTACTTGGCTCTAGCTCCTATTGTCAGGTAATTTTTAATTTTATTTGATTACACACACATACACACACATATATATATATTAAATGAAACATAATGAATTTTCTTATGAATTAAAAATATGTTCAATATGTATGACATGCTTTAAAGATATACTATATACCTGTTCAATACAAGGAGCACTGATGCTCAGCTGGTTCATTATGAAACAGTAGAATTTTTATTAAAACAAAAGGTTTCTTTTCTTTTCTTTCCTTGACCATATGGCTAAAATGACAGTTTTGCATTTAGGATAATATTGTTGTTCTCCTGTTATCCAAGGCAAGCAGTAACATTATTTCCTAGTTACACACTGTGAGTGCAGACTCCAAATATAAGTGAAACTGTTATTGTGGGTGAAAATGCCACTGTGATGGATTATTATCAAGTGTTAAACGTGGTCAAAGCAATAATCTATAACAGATCAGTGGGCCAAAACTGACATGTGCTGATTTGATCTCCAGCAGCAGGAGGAAGTGTACAGCATGCTGAGTGATCCCAGAGGAGTGTGTTTAATCATAGACTGTGTCGGCACTGAAGGAGGTGAGAAATCACTGATCTTATGCAGTTTACTCTACTGTTCAAAAGTTTGGGGTCGGAAAGATTTAAATGTCTTTGAAAGAAGATTCTTATGTAAATCAAGGCTGCATTTATTTGATCAAAAATACAGGAAAAACAGTAGTTTTCTATTTGAATATATTTTGAAATGTAATTTATTCCTGTGATCAAAGCTGAATTTTCAGCATCATTACTCCAGTCTTCAGTGTCACATGCTCCTTCAGAAATCATTCTAATATTTTGCTGATCAAGAAACATTTTTTATTATTATCAGTGTTGTGTTGCTTAATATTTGTATTTATAAATATCTTAATTATTAATATATAATATTTTTTCTGGATTCTTTGATGAACATGAAGTTCCAAAGAACATGAAATAATAATCTTATGTAACAATGTTAAAGTATTTGATTTCACTTTTGATCATTTTAATGCATCCTTGCTGAATAAAAGTATTAATTTCTTTAAAAAAATCTTACTGACCCCAAACCACTGAATTGTACTGTAAATAACCAATATTAATGATTCTTTCATTAGTTCATTAGATTCTTTCATTACAGTTTTTAATCTGGTACTATTTTTCAGTGTGGATTAAATTTTCAGTACAAAAGCACAAACATTTATCCAAAAGCTACTATTCTATTGTTGTTTCTTTTCCTAGCACAAACTTTATTTATTTATTTGTATTTTTTGTAATGACAAATTTTAGTTTAATCGCCAAAACACAACAGGATGAGCCATGAGCCATTTCCATTTAACAATTGTAATGACCAGTAAATTTAATAGCAGACTATTATCTAACCAGAATTTATTTATTCATTTATTTATTTATTTATTATTGAGTTGAAAATTGGAAGTCATTCGAATGTAAATATCTGTTTGGTGATTAGTACTATTAGTACCACTTAGTTGTGAAAGAAATCACATTACCCTCTGGTAATGGCTTCTCTTTTCCTTACAGATGAGCTGGAGCAAATATTTAAGGCCTTACACTTTCATGTGATCACGCACAAGCTGCTGAGTGTGAGAGACGTGCAGTCCACTCTGAGGGAAGTGGCTCATCAGCAGGGTCACTATAGAGCGTCTGCTTTTGTCTGCTGCATTATCAGCCGAAGCCGCTCATCAGATCTGCTGGCCACTGACTCTCACGGTCCAGGACTGAGCCTGGACACTGTCAGGCGCCTCTTCACCTCAGACTCCTGCCCGGGCCTGGCAGGCAAGCCTAAACTCTTCTTTATCCAGAGCTATGATGTGTCCGAGCCTCAGAAGTGTGCTGGGTGTATGGGGTGTGAAGATGAGGAGGGTGGAGAGCTGGAGACAGATGCGCCTGTGCTCTTATGCCGCGCGAGGACGGTCCCAGTGGACGCGGACATCTTCTGGAGTCACTGCTGGACTAAAGGACAACAGCTGGAGGTGCCAAACCATCAGTCTGTGTATCTGAAAGCCTTGAGATCCTCCTTAACGGAGGGACAGAAAAGGTAAGACTAACACTTTGAATTGTTTAGAATTACACTACCCAGTCAAAAGATTGGAATACTTAATTCTCATGCTCACCAAAACTCCATTTATTTGATCAAAAGTACTTATTTTAAAACAGAGTTTATTCCTGTTATGTAAAGTTGAATTTTCAGCATCATTGCTCCAGTCTTCAGTGTCACATGATCTTCAGAAATCATTCTAATATGCTGATTTGCTGCTCAAGAAACATTTCTGATTATCAATGCTAAAAACAGTTTTGCTGTCATACACTACTTTGGGGTAAGTAAGAGAACAAGGATGCTTTTACGTGATCAAAAGTGACTTTTGAAAATGTTACAAACAATTTTTGATAATAATTAAAACATTGATAATAATAAATGTTTCTTGAGCATCAAATCAGCATATTAGAATGATTTCTGAAGGATCATGTGACACTGAAGACTGGAGTAATGATGCTGAAAATTCAGGAATAAATTACGTTTTAAAATATATTCAAATAGAAAACAGTTATTTTAAATTGTAATAATATTTCACAATATTAAATGAATGATATTATATAAAAAAAAATTCTGAATTATTCCAAACTTTTTCTGGTAGCATATAGTATGCAGCATAAATTATATCACATATTTCTGAATCTCTATTGGCTATTTTGGACCCAGGGATTGATTGAATCTTTATTTATCTCTATTAAGCTTTATGCAATTATTACTAATTGTATTTTTATTATTTTCAGGAGGACTCATTTGGTAGACTTGCACATGGCGGTGAATCGTGCAGTATATGAGCACAATCACAGATCTCCACAATCATCTTACTTTTTAAATCTGAGGCACACTCTCAGGAAGAAAGTCTACTTGTCATGATTCTGGCATGATTCCTCACGTTTTAGTGAAGGTAGATGATTATGCAAGAACATTTGATGTTTGAGTAAGGATGATCATCACAATGATGTCGACATGAATTGTATCAATTATGATTTGCAGTGTTTCAGTAATAAATCTCAGGTTTTGTAATTGTAGTTTCATATATTGTCCACATGTTGGCAGTGTTGTCCAGTGTTGGCAATGAACTTCACCACTGTTTGTGTTAAACTTTTTTTTTTTTTTTACATTTTCATTTCTTTGAAAAAAAAATCTGATTGTCCTTTAAACCAATAATTTACATCATTTAATTGAATTGAATTTTTTTTTTTAATTGTTAAAAGAAAGTTTGAATGAAATTCCCAAACAATATTAAACTATTTGAATACTGATAGCTTCTCAGATAGCCTACAGACTGTGTCTACAGTCACAGGAAACTGTATCACACATTATCCAAATTCCATTATAGTCTTTTTATATATATATTTTTTTTAAATACAAATATTTATATTTTATATGTATATTTATTGTCATACTGTGTGCTTATGTTTGTCATTCCACGAGTGCCATTTGTATCCCTCCTGAACATGTGTAACAATGAATAACTGACACCAACTTTAAAGTGTTATGTTAGACATGTTGTCTTAACAACAAAAATCCAGTAACTATATTTTACTTTTTAACTTTTTAATGTCTGTCTGTGTTTCCAACTTCTTGTTATATTAGCAAATATGTGCATTTTAATAGAAATAAAAAAAGAAGTCAACCCTGTTACCATCATAACTGACGTTAGTTCTGTTAATAATAATTAAGAAAACAAATCTGTAATGACGTTAAGATGCAAACTCCTTAAAGACAAGTATCTCTTCTTATGTTGTAAATTTGCCAGTAAGGAATGATCTTTGACTTTCAACCCTGTTACCATGATTTTGCCAGCAGCTGATTACTGAAAAGTGGATATTGTAGAATTAGCAGCATGTTATTTCTAATAAAACCCATGTGTTATGACCTTGAGCACAACGTATGGCTAAATGAACTAAAACTGTTCACCCTGTTACTGTCAACTATGTTACCATAAACCTACTACTTCTATTTAAGGGCATAGCTGTATTTATTTATTAAATTGTTTACATTTAGCGTTAAGTTTCACAATGCATGTTTAACAACAGTTGACATGTAAATAATACACATATTTTTTTCTGATAGAACGCTTTAAATCAGAGAGATTCACTTAAAAGAAATACGTTAAAACGGCAAAATACTTCATTATACAAAGGAATGGCCCATTTATTGTTAGTTTAGTAAGTGCAGCGCACTGCCTGTGTGTGTGTGTGTGTGTGTGTGTGTGTGTGTGTGTGTAGGTGAGACAGGAATCACTGACGCGCTGGATCTGTTCTCGCGCTGTTCCCAGCTGCTCTGCTGCAATGGCGATGGTGGCGCGCTGAAGAGCGGAGTTGGCCGACTTTCCCTTTGTTTTACGAAGAATGCTTCAGTCATGCACGACCACCCAGCGCTAAATCCGGCTTGAAGAAGGGCGTGGATCTTAAATTTGAACATTCGATCTGTGGTCCGAGCGGTTGGGCTGTAAGCAAACAGCAGCCTATATGCAACCGCCCCGAGACTTCTCACATCTGCATGCGATAAGCGACCAGCACCCGCCCGCCCCTCTCCTTCCACCAGCTGATCTGAGCCACAGCAAACCCTCTGGCCGGCGAGGACCTGGATCATTATGGCAGAGCGCAGTTCCACCGGATTACTGATGATGATGCTGGACCCGTCGCCGGCGATCGCGATGACTCTCCCGGCGGAGGTGCGCGAGAAGCTGGCGGAGCTCGAGCTGGAGCTCTCCGAGGGTGAGTCGCTGATTTCCGCGTGCAGCCTTTCCATCTCCATGCGACATACCGGGTTTCAGAGATCGGGGTTGCATCAGATTTCCTGAAGGGTTCATGCATTATTGTGGATGCGGGCTGTTAATTACATACACACCTCTCCAAATGCGCTCTGAAATATCTGATCTGTCATCAGTATGTTTTTACTACAGCCCTTCTGTACCTATAATAGCGGTGATGAAGATGATGATAGGTGTAATGCAGGTTCAGTGCTGTGTCAGCAGTGCTTCGGATCAGAAAGACCATTCAATCCCATTAAAAGCAATGCAATACATCAGAGAATCATATGTTGGTTTAATCCAAACAGACTGCTGTTACTTTTGCCAAACAAGCAGAGACATTCTGAGCATCATGCTATTGGTCATGTTGTGTGTGTGTTTGAAGGAGCTGGAATAAATGCAAGACTTTTAGATTCATAGTTATGATTTTCAGGTTGTAGAACTATATGGATTGTTCCAAGCGAACTGCTCAGTATTCAAACTGTGTTATCTGGCTATGGAAATTTCAGCAAGAACAACAGCATGCTTTGCATGTCATGCCCATGCTGCAAATCTTCCCCAAACAGGTCATTTGCTGATAGGAATATTGATTAAACCTGTATGTTCTCATGTATAGCCCAAGTCATTTTTATCAATACATTGTCACTACCATATTTCATCCTGACATGGTGACATGAGGAAAAGTCAAAGATCCATTCTTATTGCTTTTTGTATCCCACAAGACCTTGACTTGTAAGGAGCATCTTTAGTGATAAAAAAATCAGATTTTAGAGATAAAGCCTTTAATGTAATAACAGATGTGCTGAATTGCAATGCTCCTGGAACCTTTTAAACTGGAGCATGTCTTCTGTGTAAATGCACAGCAGGAAGAGTTCAAACTGAACTAATTAGACCAACCGTGTGCTGCTTTCTTGAGATCTTCCAGCACATCTATGAGGGAAGGGAATGGCTAAATGGGCCTATGATTTAATGACTGTTATTTTAATGAAATTCATACAATTACACGGCTGTTTTTAAAATGATCATATTGTCAGAACCAATTATGGGCAGTACTCATCCACATGCTATTAAACCTGTTTAAACCTGCTTTGCTCTTTATCGAGATTGTTTATGTATTAATTCAGGGGCATTCATTATAATTATTAGTTCTGCTGAGTAATGATGTCTTATTGTCTTATTGGAGTATTATTGGAGAGCGGTAACACAATAGCCAAACGATTCAGATGACCTGAGTTCGTTCTTGTGAAGAAAGTTTAAGAATTGTGGGAGTATACACTTAGGTTTGGGGTCAGTGAAGATTTTATTATTATTATTATTTGAAAAGAACTTAATGGTTTTATTCAGTAAGGGTGAACTAAGCTGATCAAAAGTGACAGTAAAGACTTACATTGATACAAAAATTGAACTTTCTATTCATGAAAGAATCCTGGAAAAAAAAAATGTCAGTTTCAATTAAATTATTAACAGCATTTTAGACTGATTTCTGAAGGATCATGTGACACTGAAGACTGGAGTAATGATGCTGAAAATTCAGCTTTGCATCACATGAATAAATTTTATTTTGAAATATATTCAAATCGAAAAGTGTTATTTTAAATTGTAATAATATTTCACAATATTACTGTTTTTCACTGTATTTTTGATCAAATAAATGCAGCCTTGATGAGCATAAGAGACTTTTTTCAAAAACATGAAAAAAAATCTACCTCAAACTTTTGAATGGTAGTTTAAACATGGACAAAGTATTAAGTTAACTGGCAAAAAAATCTATGAAGTGCTCAAGTTCTGACCCTTATTTAATTTGATTAGCTCTGGGACGGCAGCACCAGACCTAGTTTCTTGCATGCTGAGGGAAGTTTCACTATTGTGGTGTTTTAAAAAGGAGACAGCGAGTCCAAAATAGCAGCAGCTCATACTGCTGACATACTGTGTCACCGCTGACATCTCTCACTTCATTCCAATACCACAAATTTCCCAGTACTGCTTCCCAAAAAGTCTGCATTTGTTAATTCAATATTTGTGTTGTTAAAAATGTAGCATATAACACAAGCGAACAACACAAATAAACACAGCAGGGTCGCAGAAAACAGCCGAACCCCTGTCCGCTTCCTGTTTGCGTGTGCATAACTTCCTGTCCTGCACACTGTCTGATAGCCATTGTTTTCCTTTATCCTTTAATTGCTGACGTCACCAGGCCCAACTCAACAAGACCCTCAGAATGATTTTACGCAGCGGGCTTCTGAAGAGGGTTTTAAAAGTGATTTGATATTTTCTGAATTCAGTTTATTCCCCTGAAGGTTTAATCTGAATTGAAACAGGTTGAGTTTGTGTTGCAATACTGCATCATGTGCTAACATGCATAGTTCTCAACATGTTAGCTCAAAAGAAGAGCAGAGCGATGTTAGACTGAGGGATTTTTTCAAGGACGCTGCTTTAATGTTATTCTTGGTTGGAGATCTTGATGGAGAATCACACTTCAAACTGCAGTGCAGTTCAGGACTTGGTTAATCTGGCCCTGAGAAACCAGTCCTGAGGCTGTTTCTCTAGTCTTTTTGAGGTTTAAAAATCCATTTATGTAGTCCCGCTAATGATTTTGGATGATCATGCAGGTGGATGAAGAAGTCATGTCAGTTAGCACTGCATTGTTAGCTAAGTTCAGCTGTAATAGAGGTGTAAGTCTCACGGGAGGCTTCATGTTCCTGAGCTGAGTGGAACAGACAGGCGTATGAATAACTTTAGTCTAAATCATTCACTTGTTTAACTGAACTGTTATGCAGTCTATGGGCAGTAATGGAATGCAGTCTATGTGATAGCAGTTTGAGTAGCACAAATGTTTGAATCAGTCCAAATCGTCTGTTGAATTGTGGTCTAGAGATTTTGTAGGAATGTCATATACAGTATCTCACAGAAGTGAGTACACCCCTCACATTTTTGTAAATATATTATTATATCTTTTCATGTGACAACACTGAAAGGTGCCATGTTGAACTTCCAGTGAGCAGTATGAGAGAGTGAGAGCGATAACACCAAATTGAACACACCTGCTCCCCATTCACACCTGAGACCTTGTAACACTAATGAGTCACATGACACCGGGGAGAGAAAATGGCTAATTGGGCCCAATTTGGACATTTTCACTTAGGGGTGTACTCACTTTTGTGGCCAGCGGTTTAGACATTAATGGCTGTGTGTTGAGTTATTTTGAGGGGACAGCAAATTTACACTGTTATACAAGCTGTACACTCACTACTTTACATTGTAGCAAAGTGTCATTTCTTCAGTGTTGTCACATGAAAAGATATAATAAAATATTTACAAAAATGTGAGGGGTGTACTCACTTCTGTGAGATACTGTATGTTCAATATATTTTTTTAAATTTATCATTATCAATTGACATCGGACATATATACTGTGTGTATATATATATATATATAAGTTTGTTAAAACTGGATATTTAATTGTGCATGCTTCTTGCTTCTTTCCCATATATTTACACTTAGAATACTTTTGTTCACTTAAACGACTTTAAAATTGTATAATGTAAAAATAATGAATACTAATTTTAAAATGCTGTTAAATGTAATCTTTAGCAAATCTCAAAATAAATATCCATTTGTCAAACTGTACATTATAATGTTTTGATGCCTAAATTCACAATTAAAAGCAATGTTTTTATATTTTTAATTTATTTAGACAAAATAGTATATAATTTTAATATCTGCTGTAACAAATGTTTGCTGGCTGTAACATGAATGAATTGTCCATAATTTTTATATCGGTGCATCCCTAAATCTGTGAACTTGCTCTTAGATTGCTCAGACACACACTGCCCTCAAACTCATACCATTGGCTGAGTTCGAAGTTTAATATAGAGTGAATCTTTTGGGTTCCGTAAGTAAAAATCCAATTTTTAACGCTAACAATAAAAACTTTAGAGGCAAACCTACTTGTGAGCTACAATGTTGTTAATCAGTGGTATATGCTTTTGTTAAAGTCATCAGCCTGAATTATTTCAACCTACAGGTGCATCTCAATAAATTAGAATGTCGTGGAGAAGTTCATTTATTTCAGTAATTCAACTCAAATTGTGAAACTCGTGTATTAAATGAATTCAATGCACACAGACTGAAGTAGTTTAAGTCTTTGGTTCTTTTAATTGTGATGATTTTGGCTCACATTTAACAAAACCCCACCAATTCACTCTCTCAACAAATTAGAATACTACATAAGACCAATAAAAAAACAATTTTTAGTGAATTGTTGGCCTTCTGGAAAAGTATGTTCATTTACTGTACATGCACTCAATACTTGGTAGGGGCTCCTTTTACTTTAATTACTGCCTCAATTCGGCTTATAATTACGTTTAACAGCAGAATTTCTGGTGAAAAATTACTTTACCCTTGATTCAGCAAAGAAATCTCCACCAATTAGAGAATCGTGACAAGTAAAATGTGCCAAAAGAACCGCCCAATCCCATGATGCACTGTGAATGATGTAATAGAGTTTCCCTACACTCTCAAACTATATTTAGCATATTTTGCAGTAAACTTACAATACATTTTTATTTACGCCATTTACAATGCTGTATCAGCTTGTAGTTCTTTCCCTTGTAAAACAGTCATCGTCTTTTTGTCAGATTTTCAAATAAAGTTTTTGCCTTTTTCAAAGTTTGTAATGTTGTGATTCACCTCATAGCTGGTTCCTTTGGCTTATGTCTTATAACTTTTTAACAAAGTTATAAGACATAAGTTTAACAAAGTTAAGATTAAAAATCTTTTAATCCCCACTGAAAAAGTGTTCAGATGCTGTTGCGCTCTATAGTGATATCCTGAAGACCAGCAGCTGGAGTTTGTGTTTGGTTTCTCCTTCAATGAAATGCACTGATATTTGAGAATGTTTTGTGGGTATTGCTAAATGAGATATTAATTGCAGTCTCCATACACGTCTAGAACCAGCCTTTAGTT